CGCGATTTAAACCCAGATGATTGTAACCACTCTAAGTTCATCTGCCTTGGGAAAGCTATCGTGTCTCCGACATAGTGATAACACTCGTTACCTTCTCTAGTGCAGCTCAACCAGGTCTTGTCCCATTCGTCGGTATTTATGATATCACAAATCCCGGAAAATATGCTTTGTAGTCCAAACGAGTCGTTCGTTGTAGTTTTTGAAAAGTGATTTCTGTTAAATAAAATATCTCCTTTTGAAGTGGACTTTGAGCTTTGTAACTTTGCAGATCTTTTTTATGCTCAAACAGCAACATTACAGACTCTAACATGTCTTTAACGTTAACGTTTATTGTTATAGTTGTCGTTCTTGTTGTCAACAGGCCTTTAACGTTATCGTTATAGTTATCGTTCTGGGTGTCACCATGTTTTTATCGTTAACGTTTATCGTTATAGTTATCATTCTTGGTGTCAGCAGGCCTTTAACGTTAACGTTTATCGTTATAGTTATCGTTCTGGGTGTCAACGTGTCTTTAACGTTAACGTTTATCGTTATAGTTATCGTTCTGGGTGTCAACGCCTTTAACGTTAATGTTTATCGTTATAGTTATCGTTCTTGGTGTCAACGTGCCTTTAACGTTAACGTTTATCGTTATAGTTATCGTTCTTGGTGTCAACGTGCCTTTAACATTAACGTTTATCGTTATAGTTATCGTTCTGGGTGTCAACGCCTTTAACGTTAACGTTTATCGTTATAGTTATCGTTCTTGGTGTCAACATGCCTTTAACGTTTATCGTTATAGTTATCGTTCTGGGTGTCAACGCCTTTAACGTTAATGTTTATCGTTATAGTTATCGTTCTTGGTGTCAACATGCCTTTAACGTTTATCGTTATAGTTATCGTTCTGGGTGTCAACGCCTTTAACGTTAATGTTTATCGTTATAGTTATCGTTCTTGGTGTCAACATGCCTTTAACGTAAACGTTTATCGTTATAGTTATCGTTCTTGGTGTCAACGTGCCTTTAACGTTAACGTTTATCGTTATAGTTATCATTCTTGGTGTCAGCAGGCCTATATCTTTATAGTTATTGTTATAAATATCGTTCTTGATGTGAACGATGGGCCCTTTAGCGGTTATTCATTGAAAGTAGTTAGCAAAAGTCTCTGTGAATTTAATATTCTATTAATCTAAAAGTAAACATTGGCACGTCTCCAAAGTTGTTTGTATGCATTATAAAAGGGTTCATGTTTAGGTGCTGTCAGTATGTTGTTGTTGTACCTTTCTGTGTGAATTCAAATGTACAGAAATATACATGTGCACTGTATGTGTGAATACCAGCCTCTTCATGCTTAGCAGGAGGTCCTGGTGCGGTATTTACATATTCATATATTTATATTCATTCTTAAACACATATTTACACATAAACATGCTAAATTCTGTTACTGTATACGAGTTTGAATGCTGTTTGTTTAACACAGATATATGTGATTGTATTTCAGGAGCTGAAACACACACACACACACACACACACACAAAACAACAAACACTATATGACTTTTAAAGCACTAGGCAGCATACACATGCCTACTTTGTAAATGGTTACAGAGGAAAACTAGTCATCATACACTACATGTCGACTAAAGATTCACACACTACCAGTCTGACAAGTTGTTCCAAACACAACAAACTCATGCAGAAACATGTGCCTTGTTTCTAGAAGACAC